CCCCCCCCTCTGGTGCCCACGCCGGGATCTCTTCTGATTTGATAAACCAGAGATAGCGATAATGGGGCCGAGTCCCACGCACTTACTGTCCCGGTTTGACATCTCAAGATCCCACGAACCTCCATGCTTTGTGAAATTAGGATGGACTTCCCAGGACGATGAACCAGTTGCGTGCCCTTGAGCGCGAGTCTATTTTTAGAAGACCCTTGAAATCAGGTACAGTACAGCACGCACCCGTCTACATACCACTCATCCCCTAGGAACCACAAGAGGATATGCCGTCTCAAGGCAACGTACCCGAGCCGCAAGACAGGTTTGAACAGGGACTCAAATGGATACCAGCAGTGGTCGAAAAGAGGCAGGCATGATGGTGACGACTTATCTGGACCGTACAGTACATGATGACGCGGAAGTGGGATCGATGACAATAGCCCACCGATTGTGCGACAGGCAGTTTCTCCACGAGAAGCCGAACTTGTGCTATACGCCGTGCCATACCGAGCCTGAATGTCGTTGAACACTTGCAAAACCATAGCCTGCTTGTTGAGATTCTCGAAGAACGACATATCCACTCCCGCGGGGGCGGCGTGACAAACAAGCTTGGTGTAATGTGCAACTCGCCTGCATGGAACTAGTCGTTTGGACCAAGATACGATCCAGATGAAACAAAATGCGAGTAGAACACAATTGTTCGACTCAGAATCTTGTAGTGAGATCCTCCACCCACCAACAACTTCACCGTAGACCTGACAAGAGTGGGTGGGTGGCTTTGGATGGTTCGGGCCGTAATCTTGGCACTGTCTGGAGTTTGGGCTGTCCATCGACTCATCAAGAGAGTCCATTGAGATTCATCTCTCTCTCTGTGTGTGCCACCGCAATCACCAAGCACCAAACACCAAACAGACAGACATACCACGGCATTCATCCGATCAAGCCTTTCCCGTCCAGACCAAGTACGTTTCTCCAATAGCTGGCGGCCATGTCGACCCTAGATATAGCAGCACTACTGCCATGTCGGCGCCCTCCATTGGTCCTGTCTTCGTTGGACCTGCGGTGGCTGGGCTGCGGAGGCTGGGAAAGACAGGCGCCCGCATCGCCAACCACCTCGGACGGTCGATAGCAGCCCAATTCAGAGCTCTTTTCTCCCTTGCTTCCTGCCCCGACCATCTTGTCTCTCTTATCTCTCCCTCGACCGGCTCGGGTCCTACGCGCTGGGAATGTCCATGAGATATCTCATACCGCGTTGCAAGTGAGCGATTGAAACACATACATTCCTCGGTTGATCCCGACCGTCATGTTAGCTCCGGGATCGGGCAATGTGAGTCTGCGGACTGTCAGTTGTAAGTGGAATGTCGGATTTGTTCGACAGCCGGCTAGAGATCCCAACCAATCTTGGTCGATTGTGGTTTGAACCGATGGCCTGACTCCATGCAGCAAGTAGACCGCAGATGATACACAACGAGGATCAGCAATCCGTTGCCGCCTCAGATGACTATTACTCTTTCTCGAGCCAGAGCTCCAGCGCAAGGTCTCGGACGAGTGGCAGTCGAGTCAATGTCGTGCGCTATGCAACCCCCAACTCTCGACCTGCATCCCGTCCTCCTTCCCCTAGCATATCAAGAACGCATCTCGCCCCGCCGGTGGCTGGTGCGCGATCGCAACCCTCTATAGACTCCTCGAGCGACAACAGAATCTTCCTGACACCCGCGTCCCAAACAATCCGCTCCGTCGAGGATAGAGAAGTTCACCTGAACCCCATGTCCCATACCACATCCAGTCGGGCTCCCGCCGACAGCTACGCGGGACGCCCACCAACTCCTGGAATGGACGACTCGCCTTATATTCATTTCGCCATTAGCCAGCTGACGCGTGATGAGGAAGTGGCGGGCCCTAGGAGGAGAAGTTCGATCGTGAGCCGTGACTCTCCCGCTGAGCCGCTGCTCTGGGATGATGGCTTAGGTTGCTTCATCCGCTCACATGGACCTTCCTCACCTCCGGACGTCAGACACCGGCCGAAATCTCCTATCTCCGCAAGAAGGTCGCCCCAGAAGTCGGTTGACCCAGAATCTTTCATTCCAGTGGATCCCCCAGAGGAAAGCCTACTCTACCCTGCATTGGACTATGTGCCTCCTGTATTGCGCACATGGGCACTGGCCGCCCTCACAATCTGCTGCTTGCTCATGATTGCCGGAATTATTTTCTGCAATGTCTGGTCCCCAAGGCATCAAGGACTTTGGGACTATGAGAGACAGGGTGATGCCCATTACTTCGTGATGCAATTTCTACCGCAAATTTTAGGCATGGTTATCACCATCTGGACGTTCGTGGTTCAAGCTGCCGTTTACCGCATCATGCCTTTTGCTATCATGGCATCGGAGCGGCCGTACGACCGCATTCTGCAGAGGCTGCCAGTCACGTCACGCAACTTCATTCTACCTGATTTCTCACATTTTCGGCATGGAGAGGCGCTAGTTGGATTCTCTTTGCTCTCAATGTGGCTCTCAAATTTCATCGCATTGCCGCTCCTGAGTTGTTTGTTCCAGGCCAAGTGGTATGAAATTGACGGCCAAGGCACGTGGCGATGGGCCTCCGTTCTGGCTGTGGGCTGGACGCTGGTGGCGGTTTACGGACTGACGACTATTGGGCTGATTTTGCTCATGCTTCGCTTTTTTCGTACATGGTCAGGCTTGATGTGGGATCCTGTCAGCCTGGCGGATCTCATTTCGGTGATTCAACGGTCAAACATCCTGCACGACTTCGAACAGTCCGAAACACTGCCGCAGGTTGGGAATTCACTCGAGCCCCGACTCCTTCGACTGGGTTATTGGCAATTATCAAATCGCGGCGAGTTCTTCTATGGTATTGGCGAGGCTGATGCCCCGATCCGAACACCATCCCTTCACCACCTGGAAAAGAATCTTCAGATGCAGTCGCACGGGCTGTCCAAGGTCTCGGTTGATCTTGAGCGCCAGGGTATGGCCGAAAAGGGCGAATACCACGAGAACCTATACACTCCTTCTGTTCGCTACCGCTGGATTCCATGGTTTCTCAAGGATACATCTGTGATAGCTTGGACGGTAATCATATGTGCTTTGTTCGTCGCTTTTGTACTGGTTAGCTTCATCCATGACGCCATCCGAGGAGGCTTCCCCCCACGGTTGTCCACATTGCCTTCCACCGGCGGCTTTTCGTCTTCCAACTTCTGCTACAGCTTTGTGCCGGCTCTTATCGGAAACGTCTTTTTTCTCGCATGGCAGCCCATCGACGTCTTCTTTCGTGCGTCGCAACCCTTCGCCTCTTTGTCGTCACCCAACGGTGCACGTGCAGAGGAGAGCCTGTTACTGGCGTATCCGTCGCATCTTCCGTTCCAGGTGACTATCCTGGCTGTCGCCAACAAGCACTACAAAGTGGCTTGGATCTCGTTCATGAGTATTGCGTCTGCCGCCATTCCCATTCTCGCCGGAGGCGTTTTCATTGCGTTGAATTACCCGTCCGAACACGCAATCAAAATTGCAGCATCAATGCCTGCTTTCTACGCGATGGTGGTATTCTGTGCTCTCTATACTGTGTCCTTCTTGTGTATCTGGCCTCGCCGTCAACGCCACCTCCCTCACGACATTAGCACGCTGGCCGATCTGATCAGCTTCCTCTACCAGAGCCCCCTCCTCGCCGACAAGATCTTGCGCGAGCCGAGGAGCAAAGCAGACCTGGTCACGCGACTGGTTGTCGCACCACCCGGGGACCGCGAGCATTCTGTGTATGGCTTCGGGATATATGTTGGCCGCGATGGCAAAGAGCATCTGGGAATCGATCGCCTTGACCGTCCCGGTCGGACCGATATGCTGATCAACACGGAATATACGAGGTAGTCTACGTACTCGCACGACAGTTGAGGAGTAGACAAAACCTGGTTGGACATGCACTCGAACTCCTACGCTCAATCCCAGCCCCTCTTTTCATGCCAACGATTCATGTATTATGAACGACTGATGAAACTTACGGATATCCCTGTATGTGTTACGGTGTTACGAGCCCAAGTTTCAGCCCTGTATGATGGGCTACTAATGATAATGAGACATATTAATGCACTGATGTATCTATGAACTATGATATTACTTTTCTTTGTGACTAAACTCCACTTGTCCGCTATGTTAGATCTTGTTGCATAGGTAATCATTTTGAACTTCCTATGTTGAAAATCTTCAAGAGGCACATTCGGGGAGCATTGGCGTTTATCAATTCCTGGGTACAGGAGCGACAGCTCGGCTGGTGGACTTATCACGTGAGCGGATAGGACTAACCATGTCTGTTATAGTGCAGGCTTCCACTCATCATGGATCTCGACCTGATGTACGGCACTGAACTCCGTACCTGATCTGACCATCCGAACCACCCGGATACATGCTGCACTTGAGAATGCTTGTGATGTCCAGATGAAACAGAGATCCGCGTGGCAGAAAATACATGTGTCTCGACCGCTTGGTATTGAACAATGCACTTGAAGTGTCGATGAAGTACACGGATATCTAGTCCGATCCCAAATTTGTGGGCTATCCAGACTCAGGGGCCTCCACCATGGTCTATCGTGGTAAGCCAAGCACCGGGTGTCAAAACTGCCGGACAAGGCGTATCAAGGTTAGTGTCTCGGATTCTGTAAATGACTACTGTTAATCGCCACTCAGTGCGATGAAACTCGCCCACACTGTAGAGCTTGTGTGCGGACGAACCGGTCATGTCCAGGGTATCTAGATCCTTTTGATGTTATGCTCCGGGATCAGGTCGCCTTCAAACGCAAGAAGCGAGACACTCATGTCTCAAATGCAGCCCCAGCGAGTCCGGCCAAACTGGCTTCTCTAACCACCTCAGTGATTGCGGCAGCGCCTGAAACCGCCGTGTCCACCAACGTGACAAGGGCCGATTGGATGGACATTGTATTCGACAAAACCTGCAACATCCCGAAAAGCGTAAACCTGCCTCTTGAAGACACGGTGGCATCGTTGTTCTTTAGCTCCTATCTCTATTCACCCAAAGATCCACTGATTCGGGAAGGGTTCATGGAAATGGTGCCTCATGCGTACGCAAACGCCCAGCCTGGGTCGCACTTGAAACTCATCACGTTGGCGGTGTCTTTCTTCTCGGTGTCTGCGTGGACGGGCAATCGGTCATATCTCCGAACCGCCGAACACCTGTGCGTGCAAGCGATATCTAAAACTAGAGAAGCAATTCAAGGCGACATCGACCGGAACCAGGATGAGATTCTGATGACGGTGCTCTTGCTCTTAATTTATGAGGTGACTAGCCCAATTATTCATTGAATGCTCGGATCTAATGATATGGCCAGGAATTCTCAGCTATGAAGGAGCGCAGGGCCCCAGGCAAGACACATTTACGGGGCGCAATTGCGTTGATAAATAGTCGGAGTCAAGATCAGCGGGAGACGGACCTCTCGATAACGTTGGAAAATGCAGTACATGCACAACTTGTAAGCTCTAGTGGCGTGCAACTCATCGGACTTGTTTGACTAATGATTCAGATCAAAACAACCAAAGGGCTCGCGTATCCTGTCATGCAGACCCCCAAGGTCTGGCCGCCCGCGCCAGTCGCGCCCGAGTCTGCCTCGACTCAACTGTTGATGGCCACATCTGACCTGGTCAGCCTGCGACAAGCATGGGACAAGCTTGTCTTGGACCAGCCAGCCGCCAATGTCACCGAGCTCGAGGAGATCCTCGCTCGGGCGAGGCGTCTGGACACCAAACTTGTAGCTTGGACACACGCCCTCCCCTCCCACTGGCACCCCGTCTCCGCCACCATGATATTGGATTCCATCCGCAAGGCAGGCATGTACAAGAACCGATGTGACTGCTACGCGGACATCTGGATCGCCAGCACCTGGAATTTCTACCGCGACTCGCGCATTGTCATCCAGAACATCATCCTCGATTGTCTGCGCCTCCTTCCGCCGCCCATCCGCACCGACGACATTCAGAGCGCCCTGAACACCATCCAAGACCTTGCCACCGGCATCTGCGCCACCATCCCATACTTCCTTGGCAGCCAGTCGAAGCCAGCCCAGATGGGCATGGAGAAGATTGACTATCCTGAGGCGGATGCACGCCGGGTCACCGCGGGCCACCGTCAGACATCGCCACTTTTGGGAGGATGGCTGGCGTCCACGAATCTGTTCAATATGACCATGCTACCTCTGACGGATGAGCTACATGCTTGGATCTTGGAACAGAAGCAGCGGGTGCTGCGGATTTATACATTTGGCTCCGTGGAGGGCGTTCAATGATAGAGCTTGTCCCGGGCTATCTTTTTGGCCAGTTCAACAATTTTTCTGGGTCTCTCTGCCTTCCACTGGATCTCTTCCATTGGCAATTGGCCGGGCGAACGGCTTGAACGCCATAGGATGCCTTGCATCTCCCTCGACGTTTAGTGTGTCCATAACCCTTATCCACCTCTGACGAAGCGAGAGACCTCAGCTGAAAACGGAGCCATACTTCACAAAACCACCTTGATACGGCAAGACCTGTGTCATGTTGCTGTGCGCATCACTGGCGAAGTCGCAATAGTCTTGACCTACAGGATACCTACCAGTTCTTATCCCCGGCTCTACCCATGTCAATGCGAGATCTCAAGACATAAATTGCTCAACAAATTAGCGGCTCATTACGAAACTTGTGCAGCTACTGATCAGACGCTCCACCAGAAGCAGTCGCCCAGAGCAAACTAAAACATATGACCGGCCTACTAGATTTCCACGCGGCTCTAATAGAATAACCGCATGCGACTACAACCTCCTTACTATAGGTTCTGCAGTAGAACAGATATGCACATCAAGGAGACAATAGAAATCTGATACCCAGGCTCCAGGAGAAAGAAGAGCCACTTGGTCCAGCACAACCGAGCCATAAGTGAGATATCGTCGTCGAAAACAACGCCTGTACCGTACCTTATTGTCGTGAGTAGGATCTAGTAGATCCGAACCCTTGCACCCGAAGTCACAGTCGTCTTCAGGACGCGTACTCGATAAAGGTTAGAGAGGTGGGTCTACAATAGACAAGCTATCATGTTATCCACGTGCCAACTTAGTGCTCCGATCTGGAGGCAGCGAGAGCGGATATTCATGAGACACGCAAACACACTCATAAAGATATAGCGAGCCATCATGAGTAGAACACCATCCATGCAAAAGCCGCACGAAGAAATCACGCAGAGGGAACAAGACCGAAGCGCAGAGAAGTGTCGACATGACACATACACGGAGTTAGTGGAGATAAAACGCTCTGCTCTGCCCTGACTAAGCCACCATCGCAACTCCTCTTTCTCCTCTTTCTCCTCCACCCTCGACAAACAATCCCCTCACCCTCAACAACACCCTCACAAACAAACCATTCAATCCTCATGCGCGAACAATAAGCATCAATTGAACCCCACCTCACTCACCACAACCTCACCCACCACCACCACCGCCACCACCAACAGTCCAACCCGTCTCCAAAATGGGCCTCCTCCGCTCCTTCATCCCCGACCAACAAAAACCCTCCACCGCATCCGACCAAACCCCCACACCCACACCCACAAACACAAACACAACCCCCTTCTCATCCCGCCCCGAAACAGAGGAATTTGACCCCCCGCTCCCCAAACTCTGGACGCCGCAAACGAACCTCAAACTCCTCCTGGGCGGCACCGCCTTCTTGGCCTTGAGCCTGCTGACAACCCGCCGCGCGATCCACCGCCGCCGCCTGGCCGCCATCCCGCCCTTCTACACCAGCGCGCCCTACCACAAGCCCACGGTCAGCGGGGGCGTCGAGGCGTTCGAGGCGCTCAACCTGGCCACGCTGAATGTGCTGGCGTTCGCGATGATGAGTACCGGGGGCGTGCTGTACGCGATGAATATTAACAGTGTCGACGATATGCGGCGGTATGTGCGGCGGGTGTCGTTGTCGGAGGAGGACATGGCCAAGGGGTTGGTGGAGGGGGATCGGGAGATGGAGAGGGAGGTGGAGGCGTGGGCGGCCAAGGTGCTGGGGGAGAAGTTTGGGCGGGAGTTGAAGGCGCAGCGCGAGAGGGAGTTGGAGGATGCTAGGGGGTTGGTGGATGGGGAGGGGAAGAAGGAGTGAGGGTTTCTTTCTCGGGGGGGTTAATGGTTGGGTTTGGGGGATGGATAGGATATATGGGGGTGGGTTGAAGGATGGAGTTTTTTTTGATGGTCACGGGTGTTTCGGGATAGGACAGGACATCATCTCTACTTTTGCATGACAACATACACATACATACCCTACTCTTGTATTTACGCATTCTTACGAGCTTAAGCTCGGGTTCAAAGATATACAAAATGCTATGATCAGTTATGACAACCACCATTCCTATAACTACCCATCTACTGCTCCATCTGTTCGTATCGCTCCCGCGCTGTCTGTCGCGTCTTCTCCAGGAACTCATCGTACCGACCCCGCGTGTTGCGCCCCGCCTCCTCCGTCGCATCGCCCAGCTTGCCCCCTTGCGCCCCCAAGCCCACCCCCTGCGCATACACCTCGGTCGCAATCGGCGCCGTCATCCCCGTGCCCTGCGCCCCCAGTCCAGACCCCGCGGACCAGCCCATCTTGCTGAGCAGCGAGGCACCCTTGGACGCTGCTGGCACTGCCGGCTCCTCCTCCTTGGCCGCAGGGGCTGCGGGCCGCGGCTTGGCTCCTCCACCAGCCTTGGACCGGCCGAACGCCTGTCGCCGTTCGCGGGCGCGGTCGCGATACTCCGTCGGTTGCGGGATGATGCCGTGCTTGACGAGCTTGCGCGTGGCATGCGCGATGCGCTCCTCATCCAGCAGATTCTCGCGGTGCATCTGACTGAGGCGTTCGTGCAGGTTGACCTGGGCGGTGGACTTGAATTTCCGCATGCACAGGTAGCAGCAGTTCTGGGTGGGGTTGGCATAGGATTGACTCGGAGGCGCGGCGGGGTCCAGCGGGGATGCTGCAGTCTCCGACGTCGGCTGCTGCTGCTGCTCTCCACCGCCGGGTTTGTCCTCGCCATCCTTCTTCTGGATCCCGTGCAGCTCCGCGTGGCGGTTGCTCCAGAACTGCAGATGCGACGGCACCGCCATCTTCTTGGCCGCGGCACTCGCGGCTGCGTCGGCCTTTCGCTTCTTGGCCTTGTCGGCATCCTTGCTGCCCTTGGTGGGTCCCTCCTGACCAGCCGCCCTGTCTCCCTTGCCGCTGTCAAGTTCCGCTGTGGACACCGTAAGCTCTTTCACATAGGCCTCTTCGTCCCAGTACATGAGTTTCAAGGCTGGGTTATTCAGCGGACTGAACGTGAATCGTTCATTGCTGGGGGTGGGATTAAGGACCGGGACAAAAACACCAGCATGGATGTAGCTGACCAAAACCGGCCGCGAGGAGATGGTGAACTTGTCAAATGAATTGAGTCGGGTGATGGCAGCTTGTGCATCCTAGGGCTATGTTAACTAGGCCTTGGAGCTACTAAGGGCGACATACCTGAATAGTCGCGAATTCCGCAAACCCGTAGCGCCAGCTCTCGTTAGTTTTGCGACCTCTCACAAGCAGAACACGGCGAATGGAGCCATCTCGAGCCCCGAGGTTCGAGTCTCCCGTGGTCGAAGCCACTTTAGCTCCCTTCTTTGCACCTCCTGTGGCATCGTTGCTGGAAGACGAAGGACGGTACAACTTGGCCACTCCCTTGGCCAGCAGTTCTTCGGTGACCGACGATTCCAGTCCGCGGAAAAGAAGGAACTGCGACGGTTGGTTCTCGGGCGCCGCATCATTATCGCCGTGGTTCTCGACTCTAGGGGCCGGCAGTCCAGGAGGACCGGCGGGGCCGCCATCTGGTCCGAATAAGCTTACTGCGAGTCGACGTCCTCATGAGCAACATACCAGGTCGAGGTGCTTGACAACGAAAGCACTTTTGACGAGTAGAATAATTGACGATAGCACACTAGACAAATTAGCGCGCGAATCAGGCTTAGTGGCTGAGTTCCGGCCTCACCATCATGCAGGTCCAGTCAGCCTCCGCGCGGGCCCGGGCACGGTCCTCTCTCTCGCGACTGTAGGCGATGCGCACCTTAGTGCCGCGGTCGTTATGTGGATTGGGCCCATGGAGATAGATGTTGGGAAAATTGCGTTCGACGAACGCCCGCGACTGGTTGAGATCTCGGAATCTCAAAAAGCCCAACTGACGTGAAACCTCTGAAGCCACGATTAGCTTGACGGGGGCAAAACAGACCAAGCATCACCTACTCGTCTGTCGATCACGAATGACACGGACGTCATCCAGACCATCCACATTGTAGAATTCTTTCAACTCATTCGTAATCTGTTCAACACCTCGACCAGACATCTCAGCCTCTTGCCATCAAATAGCGGCGGTGTTCCGGAGGGCACCGCTTTAGGGCGCCGGACACAGAAACATAAAAAGGGGAAGGAGTTATCGCACGTCTTCTTCCACCATATCCACCGGTAACCCATCCATCATCACCTCCCGACTCTCTTGCCCGTAATGCGAATGCCGGCCTCGGCGGGGGCTGCGACTGCGGCTGCGACTGTAGCTTCGGCTCCGGCTGCCGTATCCGGGGGAGCGGTAGCCCTCGCGATCGCGGTCCCTGTACGCCGGTCTGCCGCGCCGCGGTGGAGGGGAGCGCGAGGAGCGGCGGCGATAGTCATCGCGGTCCCGGCTGCGGTAACGAGGTCTAGAGTTGGGTCGATCTCTGGTATGGTCTCCTCTTCGCTCTGGAGCTGGTCCCCGCGGAGGAGAGTGGGGCAAATCTTTCTCACGGCGAAGCAGAGTCAGTTACTACCATGTTCCAAAGCAAAGAAAAAAGATTTGTGGACGGTTCATCAAAGCATAGCCTTTGCCCTGTGCTACTGGTTTGCGGGGAGGAGGGCGTAATACCGCCAGGCGAGCGCGATCGGGAAGGCGAGCGATCGTCGTACATTCGGCCGTCCCGGTCATCGCGGCGAGGAACAGGTCGGTGCGGAGGTCCTGAAGGAAACCGGTTATCCTCGGGATTGAAATGCGACATGATGGACAGTCATTGAGGAGTGGACGAGGGAAGAAGTTGGGATGCGCTTAGAGAGATGCCGTCCGCAGCATCAAGGCGCCCATGCGGCAGAATCATGGGCCGCCTGGGATACCGCCTACTGAGAGTGGTCGAGTCCATCGGTTCTCCTACTAGCTCTTTTTGTTCTAGCGGCTCGAGGCCTGGAGTATCTCCATTCATTCACCATCCATTGAAGATGCTCTGCGGGCACCAAGAATTGATTTCTCGCTGAAGCTTACATGCTTCGGGAGAAGGCGACACTATTTGCAGAATTTCACCGAGGATCAACACAGTTGTCATGTCATGGAAGCTATCAACTAGAAGCTCAGCAGTGTTCTTCCGCATGGTACGAGTGTGATTGAGCCCTTCCGGAAGAAAACATTGATCTTCTCTTCAGAGATACGATGTCATGTACGGAGTACGGTGTGTGTACATTGGCTGGTTGGTTGGCTGTTAGGAGTCAATCTCATACTATGTGGCTCAATTGCTGTCAGTCTAAAGTTGGTTGTCTTGTGGACTGCCGTGAATGTGATGGACATGCTGACTGGGGATGTCCACGGGAGCCGAGCAGCCGAGGGGGGCAGCGCCCTGTAGGGCTGAGCCTACCGGGCCAGGGTCCTTCTTCAGGAAGATCACTTGTAACACACGAATGAACCATGTCTTATGAATTGGTGATAGACATACAGTCACGTCTTCATGCATTTCATATCTTCGACCACCTCATTCGGTCCCACGAACATGGCCAACCCGGTTCGAGCACACCAAACAAATGAAGTCATCAAGTTAGAACTGACTTTTGGATCTCCTCGGGCCCCGAGATCCCCACCCCCGAGCCTTTTCCAAGCACCTGTATTTCTGTTGCCTGGTCTGACTGCCCAATCGGCAGCTCTGGGTCAGGGTCTGGTGGAGATTGTAGGGTTCTAATTGTTTCTCTTACCATACTTCTTCAAACTCCGAGACTGTCCGTATGACATGGGTAGTGCAATCACCAGGGGGAGAGGCGCCTCCATTCCAGGCAGCACAAGTAAGCCCCCGCCGTGGCTGAGTTCTGAACTCTGCTGTTTTTTCGGTCCTATTTTTGAGCCACACACAACTGAGAGAAACTCCCGATTCGTCCTTCATGGACCTGAGCTCATATAAGACGGTCGACCCCAACGGTTAAGACGTTCGCCCTGTGGTGGATGGATCTGAATTGCCCAGTTTTGGCTGTCACTACTACGCCATGAAGCTCACGGGGATCTCGCTTTTGACGCTGCTTGCTCTCGGCTCTATCCCTGGTATGGCTCTCAGACTGTGTCAAGCCATACTCATCCTACAATACTGACTTTGGACTTAGCAGGCAGCGTTGCTGTACCTACCTCCCGGGATGTGACATTTGAAGACCTCTCACGACGTGCCCTCCCCAATGCCCCCGATGAATATACTCCAAGCAACGTGACCTGCCCCTCCAGCAGGCCGACGATTCGAAGCGCATCCGCGCTGTCGAAGAATGAAACAGCATGGCTGGACGTGCGCCGTCAGCAGACCATCTCTGCCATGAAGGACTTCTTCGGGCACATCAACATGAGTGGCTTCGATGCTGTGTCGTACATCACCAGCCATGCTTCCAACGTGTCCAACCTGCCCAACATCGGTATCGCCGTGTCCGGTGGCGGCTACCGGGCTCTGACGAACGGCGCAGGTGCCATCAAAGCCTTCGACAGCCGCACGGAGGGATCGACCCGGAGCGGCCAACTGGGGGGTCTCCTGCAGTCCGCAACGTACCTATCGGGCTTGTCCGGAGGCGGCTGGCTGCTGGGCTCGATCTACATCAACAACTTCACCACCATCTCCAACCTACAGACCTACAAGGAAGGCGAGGTGTGGCAGTTCCAAAACTCGATCATCAAGGGGCCCAAGACCAAGGGCCTGCAGATCTGGGATACGGCGAAGTACTACGAGGAATTGGTCAAGGTGGTGGCGGGGAAACGCTCAGCCGGGTTCAACGTCTCCTTCACCGACTACTGGGGCCGCGCGCTCTCGTACCAACTCATCAACGCCACCGACGGCGGACCGAGCTACACCTGGTCCTCCATCGCGCTGACCCAAGATTTCAAGGACGGCAAGATGCCCCTGCCGCTCCTGGTCGCAGACGGACGCAACCCCGGAGAGATCCTGATCGGCAGCAACTCCACCGTGTACGAGTTCAACCCCTGGGAATTCGGCAGCTTCGACCCGTCGATCTTCGGCTTCGCGCCCCTCGAATACCTGGGGACATACTTCGAAGACGGGCAGGTCCCGTCCAACTCGACCTGCGTGCGCGGCTACGACAACGCCGGGTTCGTCATGGGGACGTCGTCGAGCCTGTTCAACCAGTTCATCCTGAAGCTCAACACGACAGACCTGCCCAGCACGCTCAAGGACATCGCCGCGGACCTCCTCGCCGACCTAGGCGAGCGCAACGACGACATCGCGATCTACTCGCCCAACCCGTTCTACGGGTACGGCCACGCGTCGGCCGCGTACGAGCAGACCCCGGACCTCAACGTCGTCGACGGCGGCGAGGACAAGCAGAACCTACCCCTCCACCCGCTAATCCAGCCGGACCGGCACGTGGACGTGATCTTCGCGGTGGACTCGTCCGCCAGCACGGCCAACAGCTGGCCCAACGGCAGCCCGCTGGTGGCGACGTACGAGCGCAGCCTCAACGCGAGCGGCATCGGCAACGGCACGGGCTTCCCCAGCGTCCCCGACAAGAACACCTTCGTCAACCTCGGGCTCAACACCCGGCCCACCTTCTTCGGCTGCAACAGCTCCAATTTTACCGGTTCCCGCCCCGCGCCGCTCGTCGTCTACCTCCCCAACTACCCCTACACCACCTACTCCAACAAGTCGACCTTCCAGCTCCAGTACGAGATCGCCGAGCGCGACGCCATGATCACGAACGGCTATAACGTCGTCACCGCGGCCAACGGCTCCCGGTCCGCGTACGCCGACTGGCCCACGTGCGCCGGCTGCGCGGTGCTGGCGCGCTCCTTCGACCGCACCGGCACGGACGTGCCGTCCGTCTGCGCCGCTTGCTTCGACAAGTACTGCTGGGACGGCACGCGGAACAGCACCGAGCCCGCCGCGTACGAACCGAGTGTGCTGATGGCGGACGCGAAGAAGTCCGGCGCCGGGGGCAGGTTCGTCGTGGCGGCGAGGTGGTGGTATATAGTCCCCGTGGTTGCGGTGTGGGCTGGCCTGGTCTAACGACCACCACCAGACCACAATTCCCAGCAAGAGAAATAAATCCTAAGTCGGAAGGCTGGCCTTCACGGTTATAAACTCGGAGTTACTCTTCCTCCCGCAGTAATCAAACACCCAGACCCCAACCCCTCACAATCAACTCTTCGCCTTCAATTCCGGAAAAAGAATAATCTTCTATCCAGTAAAAGGCACATCGTTGTGGGGTAGGGTGGGGTGGGGTAGCAAGTTCATGGGAGGATCTGGTGGGGGGGAGGTGGGTATCCTCATCTCTGGAGGGAGGATGGAGGGGGCTGTGGGTTGTGTGCGTGTCATCAGAAAAGGAGGAATTGTGACGGATGGGATAGATAGTGAGTTGAGGAGACGAATGCTGGGATGAGTGGTTGCTGCCAGGAGAGCGAGAGCTCATGGGAAAGTTTACCTCCATTTGGCAGATGTTGTCTGTGTTGGTTTTATCGCATGAAGTAGACTTAGCAAATGCATTTGCTCTGGGTTGGTCTGGTGTCGGAGTAAAAAAACTTGGGAATATGGGGTTGAGGTATCAACTTCTCAGGCTTTGCTACATGATTAGAACAAGCGATTGCGTCCTGTCTGGTATCTTTCTTCCCACCGAGGTGAGGGGAGGTATCCCATGAAACCATATCTGCTGATACGCAAACCCCAGGCTCTAAGTGCATGAGCCAAGACCCAATCCCGATCAGAAAGCGAAGTCATCTTATTAAAAGTCTTGTTAAAATCATGTAGTTTACTTCGCGCACGTCGAAATCATTCGTTTCCAGCCCGTCATCAAAATCATTTCACGCCTGCACCAGCACAACCACCGCCTCATACGGACGGAGCGACCATTTCCCACCACTCCGGATTCTCCCCCCGGCCGACTCGGCGCTCTCGTATGTGTTCAAAACCACCTCCTTCACGGCCCCCACCCCTTTGGCGACCGGGTCCCACTCCAGCGTCTGATCGGTCCAGTTGGCCAGCACCAGCGCCTTCTGGTCCTCGTACTGCCGGGTATACGTGAAGACCGCCTGGCTCTCCCTGTCGACCAGCGTGTAGTCCCCGTAGACAAAGATGTCGAGGTACTTCTTCCGCAGCCCCAGCACGGAGGACCAGTAGTGGTACGTCGACTGCGGGTCCTTGACCTGCGCCTCGGCGTTGACGCGCTCGGAGTCGGGGTTGACCGACATCCAGGGCTTGACGTTGGGGCCGGTGAAGCCGCCGTTCGGGCCCGCGGACCATTGCACCGGGGTGCGGGCGTTGTCGCGGGATTTCTTCTGGTATTCCTGACGGGCGATCCTCTGCGCGTCGGTGTCGTCGGGTTTCTGTTTAAGGAGTCTGTAGTCCAGGTGCAAGTCAGTCTCTATTCCGCATCTTTTCTTCTTTTCCGGGCAGAACATCTCACCTATGCCAGTGGTTGAGACAGTCAATGTCCTTGTATTCGCTGATATCCCACTCCACGGGCACATTCCTCATCCCCAGCTCCTGGCCCTGGTACACAAACGGCGTACCAGACTGCAGCGCCAGGATCGTCGCCAGCATCTTCCCGGCCTCGGTGCGGTACTCCTCCTTCGCGTTCGTGTACCGGTCAATCGAGCGCGGCTGATCGTGGTTCTCCCAGTACAGGGCATTCCAGCCATCATTCTCGTACATGAACTTCTGCCACGTCTCGAAGAAGCTCTTGAGGTCGGTGAGCTTCCAGCTGCCGGGCCGGAACTTGTCGCCGTACGGGCCGTGGTCGATGTCGACGTGCTCGAAGTTGAAGATCATGTTGATCTCGTTGCGGTCGTAGCGCACGGCGCGGAGGACCTCGTCGGTGTCGCGGACGAAGGGCATCTCGCCCACGCTGAAGGCGTCGTACTCCTTCAGGATCTGGCCGATGCCCTGCAGGTACTCGTGCAGTCGCGGCCCGTTGGCGTAGTACTTGTCGCCCCACTGCCAGGGCGTCCGCGGGTCCTGGACCGGCGCGTCGGGAAACCGCTGGTCCTTGCTGATGAAGTTGATGACGTCCATCCGGAACCCGTCCGCGCCCTTGTCCAGCCAGAACCGCACGATGTCGTGCACCGCCTGGCGCACGGGCGGGTGCTCCCAGTTGAGATCAGGCTGCTCGGTCGCGTACAGGTGGAGGTAGTATTCCTGGGTGTGCTCGTCCCACTGCCAGGCGCTTCCTGCAGGGGTGATGGTGGAAGTATCAGCGTGGCGTCTCTATTTATGAGATGTAAAGCGGAAAGTTACCTTGGAAGTGTGAAACCCAATTGTTGGGCGGTTGGCGGTTGCCCTGCTCATCATACCGCGCCGGCTTCCAGACGTACCAATTCCGGTACTCGCTGTCCTTGGAACTGCGCGACTGCTTGAACCACTCATGCTGGTCGCTGGTGTGATTGACCACGAGATCCATGAGCAGCTTCATGCCCCGCGCGTGGCAGCCCTGGATGAGGTTCTCGACGTCCGCGACCGTGCCGTACTCGTCGGCGATGCTGTAATAATCGGAGATGTCGTAGCCCATGTCGACCTGGGGCGACTTGTAGGAGGGGCAGAGCCAGACGATATCGACGCCCAGGCCCTTGATGTAGTCCAGCTTCGAGACGATGCCGGGGATGTCGCCGATGCCGTCATCGTTGCTGTCTTTGTAGGAGGCGGGCCAGATCTGATAGACGGAGCTCTCCTTCCACCAGGCGCGGTGAATCTGGGAGGAAGGTTTGGGCATCACGGGCTAAATGTGAATTATGGGGGGGGTGGTCAGGGATGGATGACCCGTGAGGATTGAGGATGATCAAAGAGGGAGGGGTCGATCATGCTTCTTATTTGTTTGGTGTAGCTGGCAATGAGGGGCAGTGCTTCTGCGCTGTGCTCCATCGAAGATCTCGCATGCGGAGAAATTCTCGGTGGGTTTGGTTGTCCACTTCTCCAAGGTGGTATGCCACTCATGCTTCGGGTCTGGGTGGATCGATTGTCCACCCACTTCCAGTCTCTAATGGACATCTGGTTTACTCATGCACCCACTTTTTTGGAGACATGAGAGGGTGGGGATGGGATGAGATCGTCCCCGGTTGTTTTGGGAGGGGCCCGGAGATGCAATGGCCAACTGGCAACCGCCACTATGCAACTCATCCTGCCTCTCGGTCCGACTTCTGACCAATTGACTTATGAGAATCAATGCAACATCTACCCCTCAACCATGGTATGCAGATTTGAGCACGTCGAGCATGTGAACTATAAGTACAAGGGTGTGCTTCCAGTACATACCCAATGAATATAGCATTAGCAGCATTGAGGAATTGATCTCGAATTGAATCTAAATTACTGAGTCAGAGAGTTATAGAACTGTTGATCATTCAGGCACAATTATGAACCGGAATTTCCCCGCCGGCAATCGGCTAAACTCCGTCCTCTGCTTACTACCACCTTTCTTTAAAAGCAAGGCTATCATCTTCATGAACAGAACCGAATCTCATCTTTAACGTAGACTTGACTAGGTCCAAAGACTACTGGAATAAGAACAATCACCTACAACATGGCCATCTACCACATCGGTACCTCAACCCCGCCATCTCTCCATTGTCCATACACTCCACCCCCCTGCCCACATTGTTGGAACTAACACTCCCAACCAGTCCTCTTCCGCCTCAAGCCCGGCGTCACCAAGGTCCAGGTCGACCAATGGTCGAGCATAGCGAAAGGCATGGTCGGCCAGATCCCGGGTAAGCTCGAGCGACTCACTTCCTCCCCGTGTATTGCACCAAAACTAAGCCCTCCCCAGGTCTCCGAGAACTCCACGCCGGCAGCCCCCTCGCGGCCACCGCCGCCAGAACCAAGGGCTTCGACATGGGAATCGTGGCGACTCTGGAGAAGCCCGAGGATGTACAAGCGTATGCCGCGCATCCTGCGCACCTGGAGTCGGTTGATCCGTTTCTGTCATCGAAGATGGGCCCAGTGACTAATCCGATGGTATAGGGTGCAGAAACTGAGAGAGGAGCTGTGCGATGATGCGTTGGCCTACGACTTGGAGTTTTGAGGCACGGAAGTAGATAAGCCGGGGTTCTGGTTCTGGCAGGAGGAGAGGGCTAGGAGGCTAGGACCAAGCTACTACAAGATGTACTGTCAGGCAACGAGATTCTAGATACACACGCTTATCTTACACTGCGGCTGCACATCTGCGACGGTTAGAACTTTCCCGGCTTGCAGACCAGTAATTCCGAGTGCATCAGGGGTTATTACCAGCTCTTCGCAGCACCTTTCACATTCCCCAGAGAAAGGATACGAGGTAAGGTCAATGACAAGCCTTCCCGTACTTCCGCAACCGCCAATAGTTGTACGGCAACGGAGCCAGATACCCAGCGCCCACCGACACGCCCGCCGCCAGCCAGAACCGCGGGTCCCCGACATCGACCACGCCCCCGGTCAGATGATAATCCACCGCATTCTCGGCGATCTCCATCGCCAGCATGGAGACCATGCTCATCCCCATGGCCGTCCGGCAGGCCATCGGCAGGGAGAGCTGGTCTGCGCCCCGCCAGAGGAGATACGTTTCAAGCATGACGGAGGTGGTTATGCCGGAGGCCACTGGTTCCGGAGTATCTGAGGTCAGTCGCTTGGGATCATCGGAGTCGGTCGGGATAGAACGAGAACGTACTGGATAGTCCCATGATCGTGCCCATCCCAAGATCCGGGGCAAAGCTTTGCAGCATCCAGAGGGCGGAGAAGTCACCGATGGTGCAGCCGATGAGGCACCGGAGGGTGTTGATACGTGCGCGCTTCCATGAGGAGCGGCAGGTCCAGAACGAGCGACTAAGGATGGAGGATGTTGAGGGCCGCGGCGCAGGGCTCGCGGGGGGTATCGGTGGGCTAAGTTGTGTTGAAATCGTATTGTTGTGGCATGGTTTCGATCCTCCCTTGGGTGGAGAGCATTGTTGGTGGTATACCCGGGAGCCAAGGAGGGGTGATAAGGACGGAGGTAATCTTGTCCGTCGAGTGATGACACTTCTGCAATGGAGATACATCTTTATCCTATCGTTGCCGGGAAAGGGAGAAACGCTCATATGAGAATTTCAGTCCAGGCACAGAAAAGCAAAAGGGCCGGGTTTGTCTGTTCTTTATTGCGATAAATTTCTGCCTCCCATCAACGCGAAAATCGCGCAGTCGGCGAATACTTTCGGGGACTTCGGTAGAGTATCCTTCTTCTACGGAGATTGGACAAGCGCACCAAATGGTCAAGCAAGGAGTTTCAGGCTTCGAAGATAGCTTTTTTGTAGAGAATATGCCTCTGTTGACCTCAAACTAATCTGGTTGCTCGATAGATTGTGTGGCGACACTACAGATACACCGCGGATTTCGCAACTTCATGAAACAACAAGTTGTCGGTCTGGTTCTAAGTTAGATCTAACATTATTCGTAAGTTGGAGCAGTAGCGCACTAGTATAACCTTTGATCATTCAAATATTCTACGCTCAGTTTCCTGGCTTGAATATTTTGAGAGGCACGATGTTTAGAAGTGCTGACTCGCAAAGAACAGACTAAATTCGCAGGTGGTACAACCAATGCCGTACAAGCTCCGGAGAAAGTATGAGGATATCTCTTAGCCACGAAGAGTAAAGACAACCAAAGAAGCCACAAAGAAGTCAATCTGGTGTCCTGATCCATGCGCCGTCAGGCTCTCGAAATCTCGAGGCTAACTCACAGTCAACAGCAATCACCGTGGATCAGAGGACAACTTCCCGCTAATCCAGATATGGTCAACGTCACTGCAGTCTCGACCGCCTGCTCGATCGGTCAGCTCCCCGCCGACGGTGATCATTGATAAGCTAACGTTATCTGAATGGAGTCATCGCATGTGGACTCTTTGCTTTATCTATTCTTGTTCACCTGCCATTGATCTCGACTGAGGTCACACACACTTACTCTACTCGAGCACTCTCGCTACAAAAGCCACCTCACCCATTCATCACCCAATTCTCAATCCGGAGCCTCCAAACAAACCTCCCACAAACAAACCAGATACACCACCACCACCACCCACAAACAGCGCCATACAATACCCAACAAACCCACCATGTCCACGCAAACACCAACCCCCCCTCCCTCCGAACCACAACCCCAAAGCCAACCGCCACAAGAACAACAACAACCCCAACCCTCCCAACCTCAACCCCAACAACAAGAAGACCCAGACCCCCTCCCCCCCCACCTCAACCCAACCACCTACCCCCGCACAACGCACAACCCGACCCTAAACACACACATCACGCTCACCTACGACCCGCTCGACGCCACCGCGGCCCTGCAGCTGGTCTCCTCGCCGCAGGCCGGCGCCAACGTCCTCTTCCTCGGCACCACGCGGGACACCTTCGGGGCGCGCGCCGTCGCGCAGCTCAGCTACACGGCGTACCCGCCGCTCGCGCTGAAGACGCTCTCCCAGATCGCCGAGGCGGCGGTGCACGCCCACCGCCTGCTGGGGGTGGCGATCGCGCACCGGCTGGGCGACGTGCCCATCGGGGAGAGCAGCATCGCCATCGCGGTGAGCGCGGGCCACCGCGGCGCGGCGTGGCGGGCCGGCGAGGAGGTGCTGGAGCGGTGCAAGGAGCGGGCGGAGATCTGGAAGCGCGAGGTGTTTGTCGATGGGGGCGGGGAGTGGCGCGAGAATCGGGAGAGGGATCGCGAGGGGGCGTTGGTGGGGTAGTTAGTTCCCTTGGGGTTTATCTGGGAAGGAGGGGGGAGGATTTGCATAGCCGGGTTTGGAGGGTGGAAGTTTTTAAGGGCGTTGGAGCGGTGTATATACTTGAACTGGGTGCGGGAGGATTGTCCATGTAGATAGAAAGTCAGGGCTGCTTGAGGATTACCGGTTATCGAGCTGCCAGGCCAGTCACGCGAACATTTTCAGTTTCTTCACATTTTACAGAGTAGGGTATTATATTGTACATCATATTGGGCCCCCCAAACCAAACAACCACGAATCTAATCCTTCCTCAAAGGCTTGCCCTCGCGCTTCCAGTCGTTGATGTGCTCCATAATAGTCCGCGTGGCGGACTCGGGCGTGTCCTGGCGGCCGATACACTCCACAAAGTCGTTATCCGGGTCTGCAGGGAAGCACGAGAGAATATTAGCCCAGGTCCTGAATCCAAACCAATCTCCGAAACAAAAAACTCACCCATAAGGTAAAAGTAAATACTATGGTCGACCAAATAATCCTCTCCCGGCTTGATATCCCGCGGGGTACTGAAGTACACGCGATACTGCTTGCACACATTGCGCACCTGGTCGTACGTGCCCGTCAACCCGATGATGCCCGGGTGGAACTCCTTCAGATACTCGCGCAGCACCTCGGGCGTATCGCGGACGGGGTCACAGGTAATAAACACGGGCAAGAAGATCTTCTCGCCGCCGGTGGCCTCGTTGACCTTGTCGATGATCTCGGCCATCTTGTCCAGCTCGTCCGGGCAGATATCCGGGCAGTGGGTGAATCCAAAGTAGACCTAGCAAGCCAGCCACAACCAATTAGTCGTCTGGGTGACTGAACCCGAAGGGAAGGGGGGGAGGGTAAACTCACAAAACTATACTTCCCCTTCAGATCCTCGGCCGTGAACTCCTTCCCATCCAGATCCTTCAGCGTGAAGGGCCCCCCGACCTTGGGCTTGCCCACCCCCTTGCTCATCTCCGCGATGCGCTTGCGCTCCAGCCGCTCCTTCTCCACCCGGAAATAGATGATCATGCCGCCGCCCGTCAGCACGAACAGCAGCGCCGACTTCCACGAGAACGGGCCCGTCGAGTTGCGCGCCTTCAGCTGGCCCATCGTCGGGGTTTTCTTGAGGTGGGCCCGCGAGGTCGAGAAGGCGCGGTGGGCGATGGTGGTGGTGGTGGTGGTGCCATTGTTCAATGTGCAGGCGGCGGCTGTTTGGGTGTTCACGGTCGTCCGTGCAAGGGTCCGATTCAAGGTCGTGGACTCGAGCGAGAACGGGGAAGCGCGCGAGGCACGCGCCAGAATGCGGCTCGCCGGTCGAATTGAGGAAGCCATTATTTCGATTTTTATTCAATTGATGGGGATGGAGGAGAGGGCAAGGGAAAGTGGCCTGACTTGACTGCGCGGAGGATTTTGTTTCTCGGACGGAGAACTTGACGGCGGTCGGCCGGGTCGGAGGTGTGTCCGGCCTGCCCGTGGTTTGGATGCGCTCCAGTCCGGCTGGCCCGCCGCCGGGGTTTGGCTTGATGGAATCCACTTACGGTTTAGTGCGGTTGGTGGTACAGTGAATATGAGAATATCACGTGAACCTATCTACAGAGTATAGGAAGTATATTATTGAACAACTCATTATGTTCGGGGATTCGGACAACAACGGGCTGTCTTGATTTACTTTCATCTTCTTCGAATTCCTCCTCATCATCATTTTCATCTCCTGTTTTGTCTTCCCCAACTCACTTCCCTCGCGATCGTCCTGCTGACGCCGTGTCCAACACATCCACTTCTAAGCAGGGCTCTCATCACGCAAGCACAGGCAATATGAAGGATACAGACAAGAATACAGGGAAATCCGTTGACACAAACGCCACTGATCTTCCCGAGGCCAACCCAAAAGATGAAGCTGCCTCCGACAAAGATACTGATATCATGGAAAAGCGCCTACATTTTGAAGAAATCCTCAAAGAGGTGTTCTCGATTTTCCAAGCCCGCATCCTGAATGGCGACTACGGCCATCTTCTCCTCGAGATTTCTGATGATGATTTTCCCAACTTTTCCTGGAGAATCACTGCTCAATATGACGGTACGCCTGGGCCCCCTGAAGTAGTCTTCACAATCGAGCGTACCCTGTCCACGGACGAGATCATCGCCGCTGATCACGAGCTGCCTGAACCCAACTGTGAGACAACCCGCCAGCACAAGCTGTGACCCGACTCTACGACTGCGGTATCCACCTTCTCTCGGCTCATAGACAGGGTTAATCTAAATTCAAAGCCCCTCTCACCTCCTGAAGCCCTGTATTGAAATTCACTACAGTGTGATTCACCGCGCGTGTAGTAGATCTGAGAAGGCCAGGGCCGGTGTTACACTTTGCCTATCTTTCGCTGCAAAGATGAAATCATGAACTTGGGTAGCATTACATTAAGTACACCGCGTGCTTTCCTCGCAAGCAAACACTGGATATCCATGGAGAGAATGTGTCCCATGCAAGCAACGCTCACTGGATCTCGGTTTCTTGGATCAAAAGGAGTATGCGGGTCGAATATGGCACATGGAATGTGATCGAAGGAGACATGCGAAAGCGGAGCAAGGAGGTATTGTCATACGAGAAACAAAAAGGAAATGCAGGACTGGTAACAAGAAGCGCAAGACGAGCTTTGGGCCGAAGTTGGCCCTCAGGCGGTATGTACGGTAAAGCTCTCCATCTCACTGTATACTGCGGCTAGCCATACTGGCACGGCTAGGCGTGGTACGAGGCTCTTCTTCTTCGATGACATCGCTTAGGCGAGTAGGATGGCGATGTCGGGGAGTCATTGATTCCCACCCAGAGCCGACGCCCCAGCCCGAGCCACTGTAGTCGACAGTTTGGTTGTAGCCTCCATAGATAGACCCCGACGATGCAGGCAACGAGCTGGGAGGATATCCTGATTCGTCGAGTGAGCCGTGCTCATAATCGTCGCTCCCTTCGGACAATGTCGGAGGATAAACAATCGGCCCTTGTGGATTGCGGCGATAGCTGGCCCCAAATTCGTCTTCGCCTGGTTCACTGCTGGCTACACTAGGACCATACGAGCGATCGTCATTTTCTGACGTTGGTCGAGCAGGGTAGCCGGGCTCTTGGTCGTAATAGTGCGCAGGATACTGCCTCTGAGTTTCTGCAGACGAGGAAGCCGGCGGCGGCCCTTCGACAAAAGGATCCGTGCCGGTGGGCGATGCAGCAGTCTCGCCATAGTATTGACCTTCGGTGTCCACCGTGCTCTTTGGCGCGCCTTCCCCACTAGTAGCTCCGCCGGTTGCATAGGGGCTCTCGCGAGTTTGAGGACGAGCGGTTGATGCCTGACGATGCGAGGCTCCAGTGACCATAGGCACCACCTGCACTCCTCCCACCAATGTGGGCTCGCCGTTACGCAATGAATTGGTCCTCTCGCGCTCCTCCTGCTCGCGCCGACCAAGTTCTTCCCAGGCGCGGCGAGCCTCTTCTTTCGAGATTTGCAACTCCCGACGCATCTCTTTGAGCAATTCTTCCGCGCGCGACTTGTCGCTTTCAGCCTTCTGCAAGGAGGCAAGAGCGTCTGCGCGGGCTTGCCGTTCAGTTCGTATTTGTCGCTCAAGCTCTGCTTGCAACTCCTTCGCCCTTTCTTGTTCCGTGCGGGTGTCGAAGAACCAGCGCTGAAATTTCCGCTCGGATGATGCGCGCAACCGCTGCAGCTCCACGACGGCGTGAAACAAATTTGCACCAGCAGCAGAAAGGTCAGTGACTTGACGAGCCATCTGCTGGTTAAGAGGATCCCGCTCGAGTGCCTCATTGTTCTGTTCCAGCTTGCGGATCCAGTAACCTGTCAATCCTTCCCAGTGAGAAGACAGAGTCTCCCAACGCTCGAAGGCATGCGGGAAAGGCACTCGGCGAGATTGCTGTTGGGGCTGAGATCCTGTGCTCGGTTGGTTAGACGCCGGGGCTTGGCCTTGCGGTTTGGAAACCCCTGCAGAGCTCTGAGGCGGGAATTGAGACTGCTGAGCTGGATTGAATTGTCCTGCCGATGTCGTCGGCCTTGCATGACCATGTCCCGCACCGGTGCCTGCTGCCTGTGTAGGAGACAAAGGATCTGGTCGTCGAGCGTTGCTAGTCGACCGTTCTGGAATGGTGGTGGTGCGTAAGTCTTGCGCCTCCGGCCCTGTGGGCGCCCTGTGCGTCGCTCGCCGTTGTGAGCCTCTGTCACCGGCAACGCCAGCAGCATAAGGCTGCGCTTGCCCTTGAGCCTTGCTTTGCTCCTGCTCCCGATCCCTAGCTTCCTGTTCGGCCTTCTTGCGAGCTTCGCGGTCCCGGCGCTGTCTCATGATGTCCGTGGGAGTCCGCACACCACTTGGCGGGTGTGGATTGACAGGGACCGGGCCCTGGGCGGCTCGAGACGATCCATTCTGGGTGCGGCCATTGGCGCTGAAGCCGGTTGTACCTGCTGCGTCAGACATGGGCGCATTCACTTCTTCCCAGTCTGTTGTGAAGGGGAATGGTTTGCGAATCGCTTCTTCCAGAGTCCAGAGAATCGCAGATGCTGTGCGCGGGGAAACTCGAGTAGACCTACGGGGCCAGTACGAGGTATCCTCCCGTTCAAGATGATCTTCCGGTGCCGAGTCAGCCTCCTCGTCGTGATCCGTATGCGCTTCCGAAAGGGCAGGACGTAGTGCAGCAACACCGTTGCCGTGGTCCGAGATTGACTGCACCAAGACAGGAATTGTTTGCTCTACTTCAAAAGGACGTCCGGACACATCGACCGATGGCGGGCGCTGAAAGTGACGAGACGTTCTCCGCAACGATCGAGTACTTCCAAAAGCACTCGAAGGTCGTAGTTCTGGGTCAAAGGTAGGTTCAGGTAAGGGTCGGGGAGCAGCCTGCTGCTGGCGTTGCGGTGAAAGAGTCGTCAACGTATGTGGATCGTGTACTTGGTAGGTCTCGTCAAACGTGCCGCGATAAGGATAAGACACTGCCGCAGTGGTATGTGAGCGAGGCGGATGCGGATGCGACGACAACGTGAGTGCTGGGACTTAAATTTCAATTCCCTTTCCAATGGGGCTCCAGGAACAGAAGGCTTGCGATCGTAGGGTGGGCTTGGTAACGTGTCAGGGGAGCTGCACAACTTTTGGCACGACTCCGCTTCTTGTCCAGCACACGCACGATACACCGGCCACTGAACACGCAATGGTAGGTCAGTACGTAGGAGACAAGTGGAATGTGGGTATCTCGGGGGATTGAAACACGGGGGAGAACAGCAAAGAGGAAGAGGAGAACATTTCAGAGCGAGCCACGCGACTAAAATTGGCAGAGGCTGGTCGAATAAGAAGGGTCGAAGGGGTCGTGGTGGAAAATGCGATGGCTGGGGGAATCGGAAGCTGCAGTTTGCGCTCACCTGTTCCTGAGAAAGCGCCCTGCCAGACCGCAACGAGCACTACTTCAGAGGCCCGTGGCCGGCATGAAGTGGAGCGAGACAGCCCAATTGCCTCCTTACAATAGGGGAAGAAGGGGAGCCCAAGCTATGAAGCGGTCTGGATCCAGGGAGTGTGAAGACTGAAGACAACAACAAAGTGGAAAGGAAAGAGAGATGAAAATTGAAGTGGAAGAAGTGGAAGAATTGGAAGAATTGGAAGAATCGGGCAAGAGCTTTGCTTGGGAAAGAAGGGAAGGTGAAACGGGGGTTTTAGCCGGTACCAAAGACTGTACCAAGGATTGTACCAAAGAATAGGTAACTTAGGAACGTACCAAATAATGTCGAGTAAATCTACCCGATCGCAAACCGATGGTTATGGACTCACCAACTCTGACTACCCTTGTCACCTCTTGACTGCTGTTATACGGGATCGAGAATGGACAAGACAAGATGACGTTGGTTTTCTTCTGCACAGCGCAAGGACCAGATCAAAATCCCACACGCTGACACACACATCCAAACTTGTCTTCCTTGCCTTCCAACCCCCCCGCCTTTACAGGTTGCACACAGCTCAATTAAGGCCGACTGCGACTCGTCGGACAACCAACAATTTGACTACCCAAGGTGACTGATTTCATGAGTTTTGTCTGAGCGTACTTGGTTTCGAGTCCCGTATCTTCTGCTGATCGCGGATTGATCGCCTCTAGATCAGTGTTGGATCTCGACAATCTCTGTCAGATCTTTCCTCCTGCACATGAACCAGACAAACATCCCTCGTCATGGATCCAGTGTCTCTTTTGACATCGATGAAGAGCCATTGCATCATCGCGACAAACCGTCCGGCAATTAAGTATATATAGAAACCCGCGCTAGCCAAGCTCTGTCCTTGCAATGGCCCAATCCGAGGCGGATGTGCTGGCGATTCCTGGATGGGGATTCAGTCCCGACCCGTCATCATTAGGTCGCCGCCTGTCAACTCCTTCTCTGCCCATTCTGTCAAGTCATGATTGTCTAGA